AGGACGGCCCGCGCGCGAGCCCGCGCCGCGCAGGCGCACACCCGGGCTGATCCGAGCAGCCGGGCGGAGCGGGTCACGTGAACGGGCTGCCTCCCGCCCCGAGCCGGCGAACAACAGGGTGACGCCCTCGTACTTCTGTGGCCGCAGTCCGCCGCGGCGGGGCAGGTGGGGGGGTCACGCCCTCACACCTGACGTCAGACTGTGGGGAGCCGCTAGTCCCAGTTTCCAACCATGATGTCGTACGGTGGCCTCGCCGAGCCAGAAACTGCCAACGCGTTATCGGGTGTGCGGCCTGCTGGTGGATTCTAGGAAGGATGCGTTCTGGGTGATAAATGGAGCGCTTGCAACTGAAGGATCTTAAGTGGCCTCCTGGCTTCTCTGTGTAGCCAGGTTAAGTTTTCGAAACCTTCGAACTCCTTGTGTCAGCTAACTGTGCTACAGTTCACAAAACTGCTTTTGTGTTCATTAGGACACAGAAATCGCTGTTAGACCCTTTTTTCTCTGAACCTCAGAGAACTCATGGGATCTTGGAACACTGCGCCGGAAATTAGGAGGGCTGGGTCAGTCATAGTCGTGGCACTTCCTGGGAGTTACTCTGTATAAGTACATGGTCCTTAAGCCCCAAATCCCTGATGAAACTAACCTTTGCGTCTTAGTTACTTTCTCCTCACTGAGACAATGTCCAGCACCCACAACTGTAAGGAGGAAAAGTTGTGGCTCACAGTTTGTAAAGGTCTCTCCACAGTTGCTGGCTCCAAGGCAGAGAACTGCTCCTGGCAGGCAGTCAGGAAGCAGAGAGGTATCAAGAGAAGAGGGAGGGAGATAGGCCCTTCCAGACCGCCCCCTCAGTGATTTACCTCCTCCCACCAGGCTTTCCCTCGCGTCACTCTTATCTATAAACTCATCAGTGAATCGGTCCCCCATGATCCGATCATCTCCAAATTCTACCTATGAGCGCTCGAGGCCTTTGGGGGACATCTAGATAGAAGCCGTAACACCCTGCCTGTGTGCCTTTGCAAGTGATTCTTACTGGAAGCAGTGGTTCTGACTTTAACTGGTAAGCAGGACCACATACAACCGATTTGAGGAGTTGAAGAAATGGAAACGAGCCTGGAAAGTGGAGGCACTGTGGGAGCTTGTCAGATATGATGTCTACTTTACTTGGGACTTTACTGTGGCCACAGGCCACAGCACAGACCTTTGCCCCTCCGGTTCTGGGGTCCTCAGAAGAACCCCCTAGGGCCCTTAATTGGCTATTCTTAGATATTTAAGTGTTGGAGATCCATACCTCTGTTCTTCGATTCAGAATTCATAAGGCACCTCTGGAGTGAAGCGTTAGAGAACAGCTCTAGCTGGATGACTTCCTATCCTGCATTTCTGGGGATGTAGGAGACTATGCCTTCCCACTTTAGCAAACTCTCGAGGAGGTACCTGCTGTGTGGCAGGTGCCCTCCAGCAAGCTGGAAGTCTAATGTAGGACACAGATATGGAAGCCTGCATTTTTAGAAACATGAGGGACTTTTCCTTTTCAGAGAGTAGCAGGGATGGCTTCTTAGGGTAGGAGGGGTTTGAACTGGTCCTTGGAGGCTGGATGGGTGGAATTTGAACCAGTGGAGAAAGTCATTGCAGCAGGAGATAAGATTGTAAAGGTAGGTGTTGGCCTGATAGCGCAAGTCTTAGCTGCCAGATGAAGGCAGCTGGTGTCTAGTGTACAAGGGATAGATTTTGGACTCCATTGAAAAATGACAAGGCCACACCATGGTTTAGAACAACCAGTCAGGCAACAGCTGGAGGAAAGGCATTTACCTCAAAATTGTGTTTACCCTAGCTTGTCTGAGTTCCTATTCAGATGTATTATTTAAAAAATAAATAAGCCAGGCAGGCATCCAGTGTGTGCATAAGCATAAATAATTAATCTCAGATTAAAATAGAGAGGCTATTCTGCTGTGGAAAAACAAAGAGAAGGAAAAGATTGAAATTAAGCATACAGTTGGGGTATGACCGACTCAGAAGAGTAAGAAAATCCCGTGTCACCAGGAATACATTAGTCTGGAGCTGAGCAAGTCCCTCTCCATCATGCCACAGGCCACAGCACAGACCTTTGCCCCTCCAGTTCTGGGGTCCTCAGAAGAACCCCCTAGGACCCTTAATTGGCTATTCTTAGATATTTAAGTGTTGGAGATCCGTACCTCTGTTCTTTGATTCAGAATTCACTAAGTTAGCCTTTCATTTCTGCCATTATCCACTGTTCTCTCATTATTCAGTCCCTTAAACTGTTTTGCGTACCTCCCCCTTCCATGTCAGCCAGCAGGTAGCAGCCTCTAGCCCAGCTGGATCATGTCACTCCTCAGTTAAGAACCGCCCCTGGAAGCTGGGCACAGTGGCGCAGGCTGTAATCCCAGCTACTCAGAGGCTGAGGCAAGAGCACTCCAAGTTCATGGCCAGCCCGGGCCACTTAGCAAGACTTTTGTCTCAAAATGTAGAAAGGGCTGGGAATGTAGCTTAGTGAAAGAGTGCCCCTGGATTCAGTCCCCAGTGCCACAAAAACAAAACAAAAAATCTTTTGTGGTTCGCTCGTGAGCCCCCCGTCAATCCAGACTCCTTCACTTCACGTACGAGACTGTGCCTGTCTCGGCCCCTCTACCTTCCTCCCCACCTTATCCCCAACTACCTTCTGTGCTTCAGTACCCCGTAGTCTCTTATGCTTTGCAAATCCTTGTGCTCCTCAAGCCCGTTTGTTCTTGTCATCACTGCATCTTAACACATCGAACACACTAGCCCTTCAAGGGCCTGTTGCAGGGCTCAGGGGTAGCTCAGTGGCAAAGCTGGATGGAGCCGGGGAAGGGTGAGCACGAGGAAGCCCTGGTTTCAATTCCCAGCACTGCCCAAACCAAACCAAAACAAAAAACAAAACAGTTCCATCACCTCCTCTTCCTATTCCTAGAAGCAAAATTGACTGCTCTTGCCTCTGGCTTTCCACGGCATAAAGTTTGGGAGGGTTTCTGACTTGTTACCCTGTTATGGTCATGAAGCTGTCTCTTTTCCACTGCCTGCTTACAAGGGCAGAACTGTCCGACTCATTCCTGACCTTTCAACAGGCCTTGGCAGAAAGTGTGCTTAGAACATTTGCCAAAATGCGATCTGGTGGAGGACAGAACTGTTAAAAGGGAGGGTCTTCGGACCAGAGGCTGTAGCTGAGTGATAAAGCACTTGCCCGGGAGGTGTGAGGCCCTGGGTTCCATTCCCAGCAGCCCCTCCCCCAAAAGGGTCAGGGTTTTTGAGAAAAGGGACAGGGGAATGTTGGTGATAGATTACTGCAAAAGCACCCTCCACCACCACTGGGAAAGGTTTTCCAGAAAGTTATTAAGTATCTTCAGTCTTCTCAGGCCTTTATTTCCACAAGAACAGCTTTAGCAAACTATCAGTAGTCTCAGCCACTGCTAGTGGCTCTGCCCAGATAAGGTCACCTGAGGTCATCCTCTAACAAGGGGTCAGTGACCTTTCTTTCTCTTCTGCTCGGATTTCCCAGGCCTCTACAGTCTTCTAGGCCTCCCTCTGCCACGCCCCTTCATACTCTCTAGACTCCATCCATGGGGCCAGCAATGCTGGATCCCTTCCCTGAACTTGTCACATTTTTTTCACCCCCTGAACTATGCACATTTTGTCCTCTGGGCCTAGAAGACAACGTCCAGTTCATTCGCATTGCTCAGTTCAAACGGGCTCGCAACGCACCTGTCCTTAAGCTGACCTCATGGCCAGAGCCGCTGTGTGCGGCAGCCCTGCATCCCATATCCTTGAACTGTGCAGTCCTTCACCATGGCTGGTCTGTGAACCCCAAGATCTGCTCCCATTCCTCTTGACTCACTTTTAGTTTTGTTTCTGGTTTTTTTTTTTTTTTGGTGTGTGTGTGTGTGAGAGAGAGAGAGAGAGAGAGAGATGCTGGGGATGAAACCCAGGGCCTTGCCTGTGCTAGGGAAGCACTTTATCACTGAGCTACACTGCCAACCCTTTGGTTTATTTCCAAGCCAATCTAGCAATTCACTTGCATCCACATATATAGCACACACAACTGAGACCAAGGTCAACCAAGGCAAGTCTACTGAATTGTCTTGTTTCACTTATTCATTAATTTACTGTGTGGGTGGGACCTATTAAGTCAGTGAATCTGAACTCTGCTGTACATTGCAATCATCTTTAGGGACTGGGGATGTAGCTCAGTGTTAGAGAGCTTGCTTAGCTTGCACAAAGCTCTGGGATCGATTCCCAACACTGCAAAATAAAAACCAAAACTCCCTTTAAGATTTTGATTGAGCTGGGCATGGATGTGTACACCTATAATCCCAGCACTTGGGAGGCTGAGGCAGGAGGGTCACTGTGAGTTCGAGACCAGATTGGGTTACAAAATGAGTTTAAGACCAGCCTGGACTACATAGTGAGACCCTGTCTCAGAAAAAGAAAAAGACTTTGATTTGGCTGGGCATGGTAGTTATTGTAGTTTGGGGTTTTGCAAGGAGAAACAATACTATACTGGACACATATTTTATAAGATTATTTATAATAGTCACCCAAAGAATCATATACAAGACAGTGCAGGAAATCTGTTTGCACACTAAAGACCAAAGGATGCAGCTGAGTGTCTGGATCCCACAAGTAATGTCTTGTAGCCTCCCGCAGTCTAACTGGAAGCCTAGATCCCATGACAATGTCTCATGCAGGCCTGTCTCATGGATATATGCTGGGAAGGCCCAAAGGTCAGTGATAGAAACTAGAAAGTCTGCACCAGTGGGATGAAGGATCCGTGCTAGCAGGCTAAGGGATCTGAACTGAAGCCAGGAGGTGATGCCCAAAGTAAGAAGCAGAGCTCCTCCCAAAAGTACCACAGCCATCCTCAGCAACAGTGAGGTCCTGAGCTCCTCTGATGATGAGGAAAGCTGAGTTCCCATCAGGAAAGCCAGTGCAACAGTCTTCTCCAGCAGTCTGAGCTGTGCACTATCTTCCCCACTAGAGCCAAGAAGTTATGCTCAAAGTGAGGACCGGAGCTCCTCCAAGGTGAACCATAGCCATTCTCGGTGACAACAAGGTCCCGAGCTCCTCCTCCGACAAGAACAGCCAAGTTCATCAGGAAAGCCAGCATGACAAGGTCCTCCCGCAGAATAGCCCAAGAGAACCAGCAGCTC